CCACAAGAATATTAAATATACCAAACCTCTGTTTTCTCTCATTCTCTGACGAAACTTTAATAAAAGTGAAACAGGTAAGGTTGGTAAACAAATCCTATTTGTTATTTATCTTCTCGTACTGTCGGATTCCGATCCACATATGATCAATATTTGAACTTTAGATTATATATATATATATATATATATATATATATATATATATATATATATAGGGAAGAGGTTATAGTTGTTCCCACGAGAGGGAATTGTATATTTTAAAAAGGAGAGAGAAACCGCAAACCTTTTTTTTTTAAACATTACGCCCCGAGCAAGGCGTGAAGCCACTAAGATGCAGGGGGTTGCAGAAGATTTGGAGCGAGGGGCAGATATAAATGATAGAAGAAAGGAGAAGGAGAGGGATAGTCGATAGATCAAGGTAACTGAAGATGTCGATTGGCATTACATTCGAATAGTTGGAGATTATAGCTCTCAGGGAAACAGTAATTGGGAAGGGTGTTCCACAGGCGAGAGGTGTGAGGTATGAAGCTACTGAAGTAGAAGAGACGGCTACATTTAAAAGTTTCTACAGTGTAAGGGTGGGAGCGGGATGCCAGCCTCGTAGGGCGCTTGAATTCATGGAGTCTGGGAACCAGTGAAAGCAGCTCGTCGGAGCAATTACCATGAAAGTATTTGTAGAAAAGACAGAGAGAGGCGACGGCGCGAGTGACTGTAGAAGAGATGCCAGATCAGGGCCAATTATATTACATTTTCGTCTCTGGATCTTGTCAAGAACTCCGAGGTAAACAGAAGGTGCCCCAGACCATATATGGCAGCAATACTCCAAGCAAGGGCGATTGGTTGATTTGTATATTTGAAGTATCGATTCCGGGTAGTAAAATTTGGTTATGATGTGGATTTTTAAATATATATATTTTGTTTTATTTTCCACATTTTTGTTACACGCGTTTCCGGTCACGCGACCTTCTTCAGGGAAAGGGTGGAACTTCCCACATATATTTAAAAGGAATACATTTTCCTTATGTTTTTCAATGTCAAACCATTGTCTGTTTTGTGTAGTAGTAATCCTGTTGTTTTACTTCAACTGGTGGCAAAAGTGATTTTCTTCTGAACGGATAATAAAACCATTAAGATTGGTCCGAGACAGAAGGAGGAAAGATGTCTTCTTATCTTTTTATAACCCCTGAGACCCTTAGAAATATTTCCATTTTTGGGTATTGTGTGTGCGTGTGTGCTTTTGCTAGTATGCACGTGTATATTCCTTCTTCCTACATACATACTGTCTTATTATAAGTAATCAGTACATACACACACACACACGCATATATATATCTATATCTATCTATCTATCTATATATATATATATATATATATATATATATATATATTGTCCTATAACTTTTAAACTTGATAGTGATTAAATTTGGATTTTAAAATTGGCAGCTTTTAATTTTAATATCAAATTTTATCATATAATTTAATAATTATTGGTTAGAATAAATTCTTTTTTAATGTTACCCGTATTTTAAAGATCTGAATAGCTATTATAACATGACTTCGTTGTCAAGCTTTTTGAATTTTTCTATACTTGTATTTTGATTGGTTATTCTAGCTTTTGTAACAACGTTTTCCCCTTGCGAAGGATTGTTATTTGATTTAAAACTTTTAAAACCATTTATTTTACATTCAACATCATCACTTGATAAGACACCGGAAGTGTTGAAACAAAATGGCTATTTTTGTAGTGATTTTATAACATATTTATGTTTTAATTTTTTTTAAATAATTATATATATATATATATATATTAAGAATTGGACAAAGTCCGACAATTTATTTAAGACATTTTTATGTTTAACATTCTTTTTATAGATACAAGTATTTAAGTAAATGCTCTGTTGATAATAAACAGTATTAAATAACATTTACTGGCCTGAATGTCCGAGAAATTTTCATAGAAAATATTCGTCCATTGACAGGATTCGAACCTGCATCCTATACGGAACCGTCATTTACGCTGACGTGCCTTTATTGATTATTTATTATTAATGAATTTATCAAAACAAAGTAACTAACAAAACAAGATGTCTTTATCAACTGGAAGAATTTAGAAAACGCTATTATATTCCCTACTCCACCTTTCCTAACAGAATTACTACTCTCCCATTCAACACAACAATAAAAACAATATTTCCAAACGTGACAGTACTTGACGTAATTTTCAGTTGACAAGATGAATATAATAGCATTTTCTAAATTCTTCCCGTTGTTAAGGACATTTTGTTTGTTATTACTAGTTACTTTGTTTTCAATAAATTCGTTTCTTTTTTGCCTTGAAAAAGTCGACATTGGACGAAACGCATCGACTAATATTATGGTTTTCCTATTACCTTTTACATTGATAAATATTGTCTTTTTCTACAGGTTAACTGTGAGAAATATTTCATACATATATATACACACATACATATAAATACACATGTATATGCATATACACATATACACAAACTTCTTGTGTCGTGCAAGGTTCGTTTGCGGTTTCTATCTTCCTTTTAATATATATATATTTGTGTGTGTGTTTGTGTGTATGTGTATTTCGGCAGTATGTCGTCCTGAAAACATGTTTCATTGAATAATATGGACATATTTGTGTCTACTTATTTTTATACTGATCCTTTGCAGTTGTTTAATCACTTTATTGACGTTGAGATGGAATGCATCAAGGTAGGAGCCATAGTTTTTTTCTAACCCATGTACTTTCGATCTGAGAGGTAAATTACAATCAAGCCTATTGTAGCTGCGATAGACGTTTGTATTCTTAATTTAAGTATCAGCATTGTATTCCGTTATGATGATTTAAAAAAATATGTCTATATTATTCAAAGAAGCACACACACACGCACATATATATATATATATATATATATATATATATGTTTGAATAAATACAATCATACATTGTTCTTTTACAGATATATTTTAGCTATAATTTAAATTTTAAACACACACACACAAGCACACACACATGTTATGCATATATATATATATATATATATATATATATATATATATATATATATATTCATAACATAACTGATGATGGCATATCAAATTTAAACAAATGACGACATATATATGGACTACATAGACAATATTGTTGTCGGACTTTGTCCATTTCTTAATATATGACGTCATTTGTTTACATTTCCTGTCAAAGGACTAATATTTTCTATGAAAATTTCTCGGACATTCAGGGCGGTAAATGTTATTTAATACTGTTTATTATAAACAGAGCATTTACTTAAATACTTGTATCTATAAAAAAATATTTAAAACGTCTTCAATAAATAAATTGTCGGACTTTGTCCATTTCTTAATATATATATATATATATATATATATGTATTAAAGTGGATAAATCAAATAACTAGATATTAGCAACCGTATATACCTGGTTTAGCGGGCATACACAGGGAAGCGAATAAATATTTACTCAATTTAATATAAGGTGTAAACAAAATAGTGCGTTTAATTTACCGTTTCCATGAGACCCAGTATTTATTTTTTAAAATCAATAGTAATTATTCGTACCTGATGATTTGGTAGAACAACGAGACTTTTTTATTTGCACTTTAACTATATATATATATATATATATATATATATATATATATATATATATATATATATATATATATATATATATATATTAATTAATAAAATTAGGTTTGTCCCAATCCTCAGAAATATGTTGTATATTCTTGTAAGTGGGGGTAACATGCTGTCTATGTAGTCCAATACTAGCAGTGGTTTACCTACTTCAGGCCACTGGCGAGTATTGTATTTTTTATTGATGTTATAAAGATTACCATTTCATTTCCAACCACCGTTTTGGTTATTCTTCATTCGGTAACCCTTCCTAGGTTTTTTCAAACAAACACACACACATTTATATATATATATATATATATATATATATATATATATATATATATATATATTGTTATGGGACCTTACCTATAATAACATAATGGACTATTCCACACGTAATAAATACTGCGCCTCAAGAGGAAGCAGGGAGTTCAGTCTGAAGTCGGGCGACCGGCTGATCGGCTGAACTCTCAGCCTTCGGGCGGGGAGGAACTCGAACGAGGCTACGCCGAAGGGCGGAGTCTCTTTCGGGGAGGTAAATCGACCCTGAACCCGTTTATAAGGTTTCAAAGGGTACATTTATGGCCGAGCCCACGGGATCGGAGATCCCACGTTAAACCGGCTTTGTGTCACATGATGCCCTCGTAGGGGGGGGGTGACTAAATACTGATCAGTCTGAAGTCTGGAGTGAGGTCCGTCAGAAGTCACTCAGTCAGGGCGAGCGAGTCAGTCAGTCGAGTCAGAGGCAGTCCGAAACAGAGTCGCGTTCAGACAATTACTACTAAACCTGATTGTTCGTACTAACACTTTCTACTTCTCTGTATATCTTCCTGTTTGTAATATATCTGTGTTATTCCATATCCATATTCTACTTCTTCTTTATTGGTTCTACCTTGGACTATCACAGTTGTACAAGAAACCGGACCATAACATATATATATATATATATATATATATATATATATATATATATATATATATATATATATAAAATAACATAAAAGATAAAAAGAGTTGAATCAGATAAATCCTCAATAGTGGTAAATACATGCGTGAAAAAAATAAATAAAAGTAAAAATAAGATATAGAGATCTTTTAAATTTATATTTATATATATATTTTAAAAATCAGAATGGTCAAAGAATCTGCTACCTTGGTTTCAACCTTACGGTTTTTTTCAGGAGATTTTTATCAAACTAAAAAAATAAAATCGCCTGAGGATGCTAATCAAAATTGAAACCAGGATGGCTTTTTAAAACTGAAACCCCTTTTTTTTTAATATATATATATATATATATATATATATATATATATATATTTTCCAGATGAGAGAGAGATAGAGAGATTTCAATCTAGAGAGAGAGATAGATAGATAGATAGATAGATATGTAGATATGTTTCCAATGAAAAAAGACGATTGATAATTCGTGTTTCAGACAAAAATGTACACCTCACCAGTAAATATTTAAATATTTCAAAGTACGATTGCATTTTGGAAGATAATTAAAAACCAGTTTAAAAACATTAATAAATACATTTCCTTCACGAGACCATAAATTTTTAATTTTTTTTAAATAGTCCAAAGAAACAAATTTTAAAGATGGTATCACGATCAAGGATTCTAAATTGAAATAATTTTTTCTTTCGCTGTCTGTCTACATTGAACAATAAAAAAAAATCAAATTAAAAATAAGCCAAGTAAAAAGTCAATAAACAAATTAGGTTGCAACATTAAAAGATTCTAGAATACAGGTAGTGAAGTTCGATTGTAAATAATAATTATATAGATAGTATGTCCTTTCATATTTTGAAAGCGTGTCGTCTGGTATAAAATTTATATCATGTGAACACATGTTGACATTGCGCGGGTCGGTTTGGTCTGCATTTATTACTATTTGCAATTTCCACATCTATATGACACGAGTGCTACTAAAAAAGAAAAAAAAACTACCCAAATTGTACAAAATGTGTAAGTTGTGTGGAAGATTTTAAAAACGACGTATTGGAATTGTGAAAGATGCCTTCAAAAAGTTAAGAAAACCAATAAGTATATTCCGTTTGAAACAAAAAAAAAGAAAAAAGAGTGTTGAATTGTTATGGGATATTATTCCGCTCATGAGACGGAAAATGGTTGACAGTCTTGTTTTTAGAGACAAAAGAAAAATGTATAGCGTCTAGCAGATATACCTCCCATATTATACCTCCGAGAAATCCGTTTATCTCGCGAGATAAAGGTATCGCTCTTTGATGTCGAGACTAGGGTGACCTCCGCAGGGGGATGGCCTGGGCGATGGTATATTGAGGCCATGCTCTGCTCGGAGTGTATACCTGCTTTTCCACGTCGATAATTGTCCACAATTCCTTATTTTACAAGAAATAGCGTTTAAACTTATGACTTTTTAAGTCATTTTCAATCTAGATAGAACTGGTGAATTTGCGAAGAGTGGTTTAACGTTGGCGAGGTGTAATGTTTCTGTATTATTTATATATATATATATATATATATATATATATATATATATATATATAAATATATAAAAAAAAATATTAAAAATTAAAATCTTCAGACACACTGGGTTGTAGATTAATATTCATTCGTTTTTTTTATTATTATTATTTCATTTAGATTCCTTGACTAGTTTCGGCCAAAATGGCCATCATCAGGAGAAGAAATATTTCTGCTTGCTAGTAGCAGTAAACTACAGAAATGAATATATATATATATATATATATATATATATATATATATATTACGATATTAAGGCAACATGTAATATCACGACACAACTGCAGTCGCGTTGGGGTTTTTTTTATCGAAAAAGATGATATATTTTGCATTTGAAACCAAATTAATTGTTCACGCAATAAAGAATTTCAAATCTCCTGAAGAGACGCATTTGTATGTGTCGAAACAGGATCCATTCATTGTTGTAATAGCTATTTTTACATGTTATTTTATGATCCTATATATATATATATATATATATATATATATATATATATATATATATATATTTCTTTATACGTAATTTTATAGATACAAATATTTAAGTAAATGCTCTGTATATAATAAGCAGTATTAACAACATTTACTGGCTCCGATTAGAGCTGCCCTCTTCCGCCAGTTTGGCCTTAGAGATTGTCTAGATCTTGCCTATTGCGCCGTTGGGGTCTTCGCAGAGTGCTTGCGTTCAGTCAGGTTCTACATCTTCGACCTTACCGCCATGAGTCGCTCTACAGGAGTTGGAAATCTAGATGACTTCGCTCTTGGGTTCACTGGGACACGTAAGCCCTCTACCACGACAAAGAACGTCCATATATATTTTACACAGGGCCGATATTGGCTTGTTTCAGGGATGTCTTCAAATAATCCTTGAAGCATCGTTTTGGGCATAACGCGTAGCCTCTTGCCTACAACCATCGCGAACCGGCCGCCAAAGTGTGGGCGTGGACTCAGGGCCTTCAGCTAACCAAGCCTGCCACCATCGCCCGCGAAGCCATCGTTTCTGGACCTGCTGAAGGGAAATAGAAAATGAAGTGAGAGAGAGTTTGTCAAGGCCATTCCAATGAATTTGATTTTGATGGATAAACCTGCACGACGGAGAAGACCAACGCACTTGAGCAGAAAAGCCTCCCACGCAGCTCAAAGAATAATTATATTTATAGTGGATACCCGTAACCTCAATTTCATTTTAAATAGTAATCATTTTAAAGATGCAATATCAATAATGATTACCAACATTAATAATAATATGCATGCAGGAGTAAGGATGTTGCAGAATAAAACATTTTGCTATTTGATTGAATGAAACTGAGATAGCTAGGTAGATAATAAACAAACATATATATATATATATATATATATATATATATATATATATATATATATATATATATATATATATATATATATACCTTTGCCTTGTTAGCCAAGCTTTCCCTGACAATCCGTTTAGGTGAAACCTAGGTAGGTTTGTCTGGCTCACTAGGTTTCTATATATATATATATATATATTTTTTTTATATATATATATATATATATATATATATATATATATATATATATATATATATATATATATAAGCAAATGTAAATGGATATAGATCCGACAGAATGAAGAAAAATTTGGAAAAAACAAACCAAAAATCCTTAAATGCAATGAAGAATGTTTATTAAACCAGAAACGTCAAATGTCGACATTTCATTCATTTTAAAACAAATAAATTGCATTTAAGGATTTTTTTTGTTTTTTCCAAATTTTTCTCATATATATATATATATATATATATATATATATATATATATATATATATATATAGCCAGCTAACTAGCTAGCTAGATAGATAGCTAGATAATGAACTGTCACAGATAGAGAGGTAGATATATAGATAAATAGATATTAACATATCCAGACAGATACATAGATATATATTACCAGATTGAGCTAGATGGATAATAAACTGACTGATATATATATATATATATATATATATATATATATATATATATAGAGAGAGATAGCGAGAGAGAGAGAGAGAGATAGACTATGATATCTATAGACACTCGGCTGAGATAGATAATGAACTGCGCTAGATAGATAGATAGATATGAACTGTCAGAGATAGATATGAACTGTCATAAAAAGATAGATATTATCTAGATAGATAGATAGATAGATAGATAGATAGATAGATAGATAGATAGGTAAATAATGAACACTTACAGATAGAGAGGTAGATATATAGACGGATATGTATTAACATACCTAAATAGATACGTAGATAGATATTACTAGATAGATAGATAATAAACGCATACACACACAGACCCACACATGCACACACGTACACACACACATACATATAGATAGATAGATAGATAGATAGAAATGGACTAAGATATCTATTGATACGAATCGGCTGAGATAGATAATGAACTGAGATAGATAGATAGATAGATAAATAGATAGATAGATATAGATAAATAGATAGATAGATAGATATGGGATAGATAGATATCTATTGATATTAATCAATGGAGATAGATATCTATTGAGATAGATAGATAGATAGATAAATAACTAGATAGATAGATAGATAGATAGATAGATAGATACGAACAGACAGATAGATAGATAGATAGATAGATAGATAGATAGATAGGATCAGACTGATATGGATAGACAGATCAATTGATACACTCCTCCAAATCAACTCAGGTAGATTGACTGAATAATTAAACAACCTGGCTTCGTTCCTCGTAGCCGTATCTTGTTTCCAATCTTATTATAAACCCCAATTTAATCTCTGCCTTTGTCTTTCCCTCAGGGACAAAACGATTGATGCCTAATATTAGAATTAGTCTTCATTAAGCTTCCATCTGAATTCCAATCCAAATTTCTGAAAATAACCAACTCAGCCGCCTCTTCTCTTTGTAATTAAAAGAGGGCATAAATTTTACTCTCGAAAATTAATTTTTATCTTTTCAGCGACCCTTTTTTATGTGACAGATTTAAAGCATGTTACTTGATACGATTAATAGAAAAGTTTCACAACGGCAATAAACAGGTCGGTGATATTCGTTAACACGCAAACTTTTCGTTTACGTGTTAGGGATTATGTTTCTGTACAGATTTCATGATACGAGGGTCGGCTGAAAAGTTCATACGCTGAGTCATTCGGGGTGTAGAATTAATTTCAACTCGGAACTAATTTAACCTCGAAACTAAGGGTTAGGGTTAGGGGTTTTAAATCGAATTGAAATTAGTTCCGAGTTGAAATTAATTTCGAGTTGAAATTAGTTCCGAGTTGAAATTAATACCGAGTTGAAATTAATTCCGAGTTGAAATTAGTTCCGAGATGAAATTAGTTACGAGTTGAAATTAATTCCAAGTTGAAATAAATTCCGAGTTGAAATTAGTTCTGAGAATGTAATCAAATGAGGTTTATTTTTCAACATAGTCTTCGTTGCTGTACACACACGTACCCGCCCCAATCGGTGTTGCAGTGCTTAGATCCCATTGGCGAAAACTTTATTCTGTTAGTCAAAAAAGCCATCAGCAGCAAATATAACGTCATTATCACAGCGATACTGGTTCCCGTTCAAGTGTTTTTCATGTTGGGGAACATACGATGATCAGATGAGCTAAATCTGGAGAATTAGGTGGGTGATCAACCAGCCCAAAGACACAGTAACGCACAACAGCCATTTCAACCAAAGATATGATTGCTGAAGCATAGTCCTGATGAAACAAGGTCCCTTCGTCAGTTTTCATGGGATTTTGGTCTTGATAGTCTTTAGTAACTTCATCAACAAGTTGGTAAAGTCCTCTCCATTGATGGTGTGGCCCTTTTAAAAATCAATAAAATCAATGCATTTTGAACCCTTCAAAACTGAGGCAATTGCATCCTCTCCAAAGCCTCATCATTGCTCACACGCTTGGTCCTTGATATCCTCAGCATCCTTCTGTAGAACCACATCTCCGTCGCCTCGAGTCTCTTCTTCAATGTTAAGGAGACCGTCCAACATTCGCTGCCGTAATGAAGGACAGATGTCACGTAGCATCTCAGTAGTCTTTTGTTTGTCACCAAAATAGTCCTCCTGTCTCGCAATACTCTGCCCAGCTTTTGGAATGCGCCCTTGGCCATCCCAATCCGTCTTCGTATCTCAGCGTCGCATTTACCGTCCTGCGTCAAAACGCTTCCACGATATTTAAAGTTCTGCACCTGCTTGTGCCCGACTTGTAAATCGCATTTTTCGGTTCATCCATTTAATGACGATGCATTCTGTTTTCTTGTAGCTTATAGTTAGTCCCTTCATCGCGCTCTCCTTCGCTACCTTCTGTAGGCGGTTTTGTAATTTCTTTTCCGTGTCTGCTATCAGTACTGGGTCGTCTGTGTATCTTATGATGCTAAGATTGTGGCCACCAATGCTGACTCCTTTCAAGTACATGTCGCTCAGGAAGTTGTATTTCAGTCCGGGTGTTGCGTTAGGCTTCTTCAATTTCCGTAGTTTCACTTTTCGTTTATATATATATATCATGGAGGTGGTCGCTTCCGCAGTCGGCACTTTGGTAGGTTTTGCACTGAAGCATTGCATTCCTGAATCTAATACTATTTTTTTCTATTTCCAAGGTAAGTCGACCCTATTTATTCTGAAGACTTCTTTGAACAATTAGATGACAGTAGTAGTGGAAAGAAACAATGCATTTCCTAATTTTTAAAAAAGTTGTAATTTATTCATGTAATAATTCACAACTTCTTAGTCAGCCTATGAGCTTTTCAGCGCCCGTTCGTATGTGAATCTCCACGTCTTCCTGGGGATGATAATGGAACGGTGACCTTTCGCCAAGGTTTTAAATTCAGAATTCTTAAGACTTACACTATTTACATTATTCGGACTATTGTCTTCATCTTTGTCGCCATATTTATTACAACGTTTCGGCCGTTGTAGGCTCCGGCCTTCTTCAGATGGTCGGAATGTCGAGCTGAACCCTTTATTTCGCACACTGGGGTAGACTGTTCTAGTTCCACGTGCCATGTCTGATGGGTGTCAGTTATCAGTTATCTCCTGCTAATTTCCCTCTGAATTTCCAACCACCTGAAGAAGTCCGGAACGTACAACGGCCGAAACGTTGTGATAAATATGGCGACAAAGATGAGGACAGTAGTCCGAATAATGTAAATAATACCTCATCTCAGAAATATTGACAGACTCTGAAACCCTTAATATGCCAATCCGAATGATGTATTTCGCAAAATATTCATTGTTTTCTCTCTGAGTTTTCCTTTCCAAGAAACCGATGAGTTTTTTCATGACTTTTTTTATTCACCGAGACATGTTTTTCGCAACAACTCATTCATGACATTGAAGATATGTCTTTTTTAGAGCAAACGTTTTCTTTAATCAGTATTATTATTAAAACTTCTGACCAATGGGTATAATGTTGTAAAACCTGAAACCCTTACACTATTTACATTATTCGAACTATTGTCCTCATCTTTATCGCCATATTTATCACAACGTTTCGGCCTTTCCTTAACTGTCTATATTTCTGAGATGAGGCATTATGTACTCTATTTACATTATTCGGACTATTTTCCTCATCTTTGTTGCCATATTTATTACAACGTTTCGGCCTTTCAGTATCTGTCTATATTTCTGAGATGAGGTATTATGTATACAATTTACATTATTCGGACTATTTTCCTCATCTTTATCGCCATATTTATCACTACGTTTCGGCCTTTCAGTATCTGTCTATATTTCTGAGATAAGGTATTATGTACATTATTTACATTATTCGGACTATTGAGCTCATCTTTGTCGCCATATTTATTACAACGTTTCGGCCGTTGTAAGCTCCGGACTTCTTCAGGTGGTCGGAATGTCGAACATAACCCTTTATTTCGCTAACTGGGGTAGACTGTTCTAGTTCCACGTGCCATGTTTAATGGATGTCAGTTATCAGTTATCGCCTGTTAATTCCCCTCTCCAAATTCTCCACTGCCATGGCACAGTGGATAATTAAGTCTTCCTTTATGATATAAATGATCATAGCTCTCCACAGCATTGCATTTGTCTGTGAATTACCATGACTTACTAGAAATGATAGTGGAATGGTTTCCTCTTGCTTTCGTTACGTTTTTTGTTTTCATTTTGATCCCGATCATGGTTTCAGGGTGATGGATCTCCATAACTTCCTTTTCTTCTTTAACTGTGACTTCTTGGAAAAAATAGTGGGGTGGTCTCCTATCCATAATTTTGAATTTTGAGATGTTTTTCTCACTTCTGGACAGAGGTGAATATGAGTTTTCACAGCTTCCACATTTATTTACTTTTTTTTATTTATTTTATATTCACCCCGAGCAAGGTGGGAAGCCACTAGCACGCAAGGGGCTTACAGAGAGTTGAAGCGAGAGCAAATAGGAGTGATAGAGGAAAGGATGAAGAAAAGGATAGGGGATAGATCAAGGCAACTGCAGATGTCGACTGGCATTACATTTGAATATTTGGAGATTATAGCCATCAGGGAAACAGGAAAAGGGGAGGAGGAAGTTCCACAGCCGAGACATGAAGCAATTGGAGTAGAAGAGACGGCTACATTTAACAGTTTCGACAGTGAAAGAGTGAGAGCGAGATGTCAGCCTAGTTGAACGCTTAAATTCATGAAGTCTTGGGAACCAGCGAAAGCAGCACATCGGGGCAGTTACCGTGAAAGTATTTGAAAAAAAGACAGAGGAAGGCGACGGAATGTCTGTGAGAGAGCGACTGCAGACGAGATGCCAGATCAAGGCCAATTTTAGCATATGAGAATTTCTATGATTTAAGTAATTTCCCGTCGCCGTCTCTGCAGGTTGTAATCCGATTTTTTTTTCTTTCTCCCTTCAAAATGTAAAGGATAATGGCTTTCCACAGCTTCCATTTTCATTACGGCTACTTTTGTCATTTGAACGCCTATTGTGACTTTCTTTTTTATTTAAGCGTTTTACCCCAAGCAAGGCGGGAAGTCACTAGGAGGCAAGGGGTTACAGAAGATTTGGAGCAAGATCAGATAGGAGTGATAGAGGACAGGATGAGGAGAAGGATAGTGGATAGATCAAGGCAACTGGAGATGTCGATTGACATTACACTTGAATAGCTGGAGATTATAGCTCTCAGGGAAACTGGAATAGGGAAGGGAGTTCCACAGGTGAGAGGTGCGAGATATATAGCTATTGGAGTAGAAGAGACGGCTACATTTAATAGTTTCAACAGTGAAAGGGTGAGAGTGGGATGCCAACTTCGTACGGCGCTTGAATTCATGAAGTTCTGGGAACCAGCGAATGCAGCTCATCGGAGCAATTACCATGAAAGTATTTGTAAAAAAGACAGAGAGAGGTGACGGCACGTCTGTGAGAGAGCGACTGTAGACGAGATGCCAGATCAGGGCCAATTATATTGCATATCCGCCTCTGGAGCTTATCAAGAACCCCGAGGGAAACAGAAGGGGCTCCAGACCATATATGGCAGCAATACTCCATGCAAGGGTGAATTGTTGATTTGTAGATCTGAAAAATCGATTCCGGGAAGAAAAATTTCCTGGCGCGGCACGTGGAGCCAACTTTCCTTGCGGTGGACGAAGCAATTGACTCAATGTATTTGTTCCATCTCAGGTCCACAGTGAGACCGAGCGGCCGAAGAAAGGTGATCTCGGGAAGTTGAGCGTCAGACATTCTAATGGGGTGAGGGGCAGTTAAGGATCTCTGTGGTGATTAATAGAGAGTAGTTTTGTTTTTGAGGCGTTAAAGTTAACCTGCCAATTCCTGTCCCACTTCACAACCAATTGGATGTCTTTTTCGAGACGCACGGCCAGGTTAGTTTTGTCAGCGACACTAGATTTGTTTTTGAGGCAGGAGTAAATTGTAGTGTCATCCGCGTAGATGCCAACTTGGGAATCTTGAAAAATACTCTGTTCCTTGAACCACACCAGTAAACGCCCTGTCGGCTGGGGCTTCAGAATACGCCAACTGCACCCCTGCAGAAGGGTAAAATCCCCACACCGACCCAAATGAAGCGTCCTGGGCAAGACGATAAACTGCATCCGCGTCCTGGGTAAGACGATAAACTACATCCGCGTACTGGGTAAGACGATAAACTACATCCACGTCCTGGGTAAGATGATAAACTACGTCCGCGTCCTGGGTAAGGTGATAACCTACATCCGGGTCCTGGGTAAGACAATAAACTACGTCTGCGTCCTGGGTAAGGTGATAATCTACATCCGCGTCCTGGGTATGATGACATACTACATCCGCGTCCTGTGTAAGACGATAAACTACAACAGCAAGGCCTTCGATCAGTAGGTTTTGAGGAGCACCTCTTAATTTCTGGTGTTCCTAAGTCCAACTTGACCCGAGGTGTTGCACCGGTTTAGGTCCCAGTTTTGGGCAAATAGTTATCACCAAACTGGGGTTAAAACACTATGAAAGTATAAAAATAGGTTTTAATACCAGCAATATATTTTGCAATGGTTTTAATTTTGCAATAGGTTTTAATATCACCAATACATTTTTGCAATGTATTTTTGAAGAAAAAATATTACCAGCAATATATTATTACCTGCAATAAATCAAACTTGATCTAGAAACTGATTTTACACAAAGAACACATGTTCTGTTCATACGGAGCTATCCTAAAAATCCTGTCGTCCTTAAATAACCCATTGAATAGTTTTTATTTTCTCAAGTACTTTCAATCTCAACGGAGACCATCTTCATGGGGTTAAGTTGTCTGTGAGTATATATATATGTTTTTGTATAAATTTAAAACATTTCAACTGTTCATTTTTTTTTTTTTACTGCTTATGCTGCATTCTAGATTTCAAAGTTCAAAGTTCACTTCTCTTTGTTTGTTTTTTTTTTTTTTTTCTTTTTCTAGTATAAGACAAGTAACATTTTTATTTTTGCGTATACGTATACAATTTTTTTCCTTAGCATTTAAGGACTTTACTGCTATACTCATAGTCGACTTTACTTAGGAAAATCAAAACTATTCAAAAGAAAATTTTGGTATTTTTCTTACTCAATTTTCTAAGTCTACCAAAAAATTAATCCCCGAACTTGA